TATATATATATATATATATATTTGGACCGACCAAGATTTGTATTCTCAACTAAACTTTAGAATGGAGAGTATATATACGAATTATCACATAAGTTTGATTCGTTATATACTATACAAATCATATATATTTGTTTGCAAAAAAGGTTTATACTAAGTCTTGTTAAATCCGGACAAAACTTTATAACAATAAATTGTTTTCCCATATTTTCTACAAAATTGAGGTACACATATATCTGTTTATATGCCAATAAAAGTAAAATGTGAAAAATAAAATCGATGATCAATGAAAAACACGGGTCCATTAGTCTCTAACCGTTATTTCCAAGGAATTGATCGTAGTCCTTTTATGCGAAAATCACACCTTCTATTGTTAACCGAGAGATATAGTTGAGTCAAAGGTTGGATAAAATTTTAGATTATAAAAAAACGGGAGAGGGAAGAAAAAATTAGACTGAGAAATTGGTGTACCGTATGTACAAATACAACTCACTATTATACATTTCTTAATAAACCTCGTATCATATAGCATTGTCCGAAAATACCGACCATTATCCGATCAGGTTGATCTCGCAAAAAAAACATTTTTTTCTCTGTGGAAGGAAAAAAAACATCATTTCCCGATCATTTCGGCCTCCGCAACATCAGCAAGACGTCTCATAACGTCAACTTGCGTCTGAAGCGACGAGATGTAATCTAGGGTTTCTCTAATCAACAAGACATCATCGTTCATGAACTCTCCTCCCGGGACAAGACTCCTCAGCCCTTGTGTCTTCCTCTTCACCAGCCTCTTAGCTATCTTCGAAATGACGTCGTCTCTCCTTCTCGGTCTCTTCAAGAACCTCTTGCTCCGTCTCACGATCTTCTCGTGACAAATCGTCTTTGGTAACTTCTTGTTGATTAGCTTCTCGGCTTGGATTCCACTAAGCATCCGACGCACGAGGAGATTGTCGAAGTTGTCGTTGGAATTAGCGGCTTTCGCGATTAGGGCTCGGCTCCAACAAGTCGTGCCCTTTCGGAGGGAAGCCATGGCGATGTCCGCCGTGAGCTTTATCGCCTTTCTTCGCTCTGAAACGCTCGTATTATCTACTGAAGAACGGCATACTTCAAGGCCCATTTGCCATTTCTTGAGGAATTCTTCCTTCAGAGAGCTTGGAGATCGCATCCTGAGTATAAGAAATGAAGAAGGAGACATCATGGATAAACTCAAACATGATTCAATAACCAGCCCTTTGAGAGGATTATGGCATTACAGTTCCAAGTGTAAATTAGTTTTCTTCAATCGCCGGCCGGGCAATACATTTTTCCGTCTAGGGAATTCTTTTCCTTATCAAAAGAAAGACACAACCGAGATGGAACAAATACCTTAGTGTTGTTTTGATGACTTTTGATCTTCTCCAGTTGAATATGTCGCCGTGAAATTCAACGGCCGGTCGAGTAATTGTACGGTTTCGTGATTCAAGAATATGTGTGTGTGTGTGTGTGTGAGAGAGAGAGAGAGAGAGAGAGAGAAGGACAGAGTCCATTTATTTGTTGAAAAGGGAGAAGAAAATGGTGGGGGCTCCGGGAGATAGATAGAGCACATGCATTCACATGCTATTGCTGGCCCACGTCCCCTTTTGTAACCCTAGAATTTTGAAAAACATTTGTCGAATATATGAATATATATATATATATATATATATATAATTCGTTCCCGCCGAAAAAAGAGAGAAGAAAATAGTAATCTTGTACTAAAACTGGAAAAAGAAAGATTTATATTTGAATAATAAGCACAGGAATTACAAGGACCGTCAATGTCAATCCATATATATTATGTCGATAAGATGGTGATGTGGTTATCTAGAATTCCGCTACATTGCGAATAAAAAGCAAAGGTCTCAACTAAGACCAAACAATGCATGGACATATATATATAGAGAGAGAGAGGTCAATTTCACATTTCAGTATAGCTAATAACTTAATTATTACACATAATTATAATTTATAATTCTTTTCGTACTAATAAATAGTTCAAGATTGTAAATTAAAGACAGCACTTTTGAGGAGAGAATGTAGGTGTGTTCTGCCTTTTGACGACACCGGAAATTATTTTTCTGGAGACAGAAAACACAATCAAATTAATGGCCTTGTGGTGGAAACGTGAAGATCCGCAAATTTTGGGAAAAGCCTGACCATTGCAAATTGAAAAAAATATTATTTATATATATATATATATATATGTATAATCACCCAAAAAGAAAAATAAATGATTGAAACAGAAATTTTTTCTATAATCGCCAATTTCACCAAGCTTTGATCTAATACATCTCCCTTAAATCTAGAAAAATGGGTCGAATAATTACCATTTAATGTGCCCTTCCCATGAGATTTTTATTCATTTAATCCAGTAATAACACTATTTACTTTCCAACTGTATAAACATAATAGGTTTTATCTACAGTATTATAAATATATATAAATATGTATAGTATATATAAAAAAACAGGCCAAGTATTGCACTAAAAAAATCTAAACTTGAATATATAGTTCAACCAATGAAATGAGATTCTCTGATTTGGAACTCTCAAGTATGGAAAAAAAACATTCATATGATAGAATTTTCTTATTCTTGGGATTAGATTGAACTTCGGACCAAAATATTCGGTTATTAACAAAATCACATTAAGAAATCTTATTTTATAGTTTTGAAATTTTATAGGTTGACGTTGTTTAAAATATTCAAATAGACATTGTAATCTTTGATCAGATATTTTTATAGAGGTCGGATCATTATAGGGGGAATTTTATTACAAAATAGTCTAATATTCGTTTTTGTGTGTGTGAATTTTCCGGTAAAATGCATTGAACATGGAGTGTGCCTCGGCAATTTATTTCCAAAGAACCTCCGTAAATTACGGGAATCTTCACCATTATTGTTATTACGACACGCCCCCATCACCATGTTATTATGTCGTGAATATTTATTTTTTCCTTTCTATATAATGATTAAAAAAAATTAACAATAAGAACACTAAGTACGGAATTCGATCGTAAAATATGTTCAAAATTCAATTAATTAATTTTGATATAATAGTATCGTATTCTCGTTTAAAAGAAAAGAATAAATGTTTTTCAATATGTGGGTCCTAACATTAAAAACCGGAAATTTATAATGAAAGATTATAGTTTTGTTTTTAGTTTTTTATTGTTTAATGGAGGAGGAGGCTCGCAAAGGAAGCGGGCGGGAGGGGGAGGCGAGGCAAGGGGGTCTATGCTCGTGCACGCACGCGTCCACCGAAAACAGGTGCATGTGCACCACATGTGCGGGGCCCACCTTACTTATCCGGACCCATATGGTTCTCTTTATTGGCCACGTAAGCAATTCTGCTGTTCGATTGGCTTATTTTCTAATTCATTTTTTAAATTTAAAAAAGTTTTATGTTTATTCTGTTTGATTTCGTCCTTGTCGGAATTCTATTTTCATTCATTAAAACGTTTATTTTTCCAAAATTTTGATTTCGTTCATTTTTTTATTAATTTTATATTTGATTGAAGTCACCTTAAATTTAGATTTTCATATTTTAGAAAATTCATGCATATCAATTTTATATTAAATTTTTTTTTTATGAGAATGTGCTTCGTATTACCATTTTATATTAAATTCAATTAATATACAATATATGTTATTCAGTTTGTATTGGTTAGGTTCTCGTTAACCAAACCGAGATTGAGATGACCATTGACCACCCGGCCCAAAGCGACGGCTCATTTGTTATATATATCATAGTCATTACCTTGTAAGAAAATGTGCCAAAAAGAAATGGACCGACGAAATGAAATTTCCACGGTCCTATGTTCGAATCACGGTTTTAATTACACGATTTACTTTTTTTTGACGATATAATTATTTTAGTCAATATTATCAAATGTATAATGGGCTGTGATTATAATCGGCAGAGTGTAAACCAGAATCAACAAACAAAATGTTGTTAGCCACATGCATTCGATAGTTTAAATATGATGCGAATTATATTATATTATATAGTTTTATGTCAATCATTAATGAAGCATTTAAATAGGGAAGCTACCAAGCATGTATGCACTAGTGATCATGATGAATTATAAAATAAACCATGTGTAATTAATTATAATAAGAAACGCACTATGGTCAATGCATTAGCTCGTTTCATGGTATGGCCTTTACAGCCCAAAAGTCCATTAAAGTGCTATGCTCTAGTTTTAATTAATTAATTATGCTTTGGATATAATCAACAAACATAATCTCCTTTTTTCACGATATGATTAGCCCTTAAATCAAGGAAGATTGGTGGCTTATGCCGTACTCTTCCAAGGACACAAGCTCTCTCGCTTCTTTTACACAAGCTCTCTCGCTTCTTTTTTTTTTTGATAACCGGGTAATCCCAGACCCAAAGGGTTCAGACTAATCCCGACCCACACGCACAACCGGCACCACACGTGTGGGATGTGAAGCACCCGAATGTGGCCGGAGGGGAAATCTCCATACCCTGGATGTTGAACCCACGACCTCTTGTTCAGGAAGTGGGCTCTCAAACCAACAGAGTTGGGGGAGATCCCCGCTCTCTCGCTTCTTAAGTTAGTTTTTAATCAAAACTTGAGACTTTATTGGTTAGGAAGTGATAGATTTAGAAGATATATATAATAAGGAAATTGCAAAACAATATCCAAACTAAAGTATATGATGGTGCAAATAAATTTAAACTAAAATTTTGAAGGTAAAATCTCAATTTTGTTATGGTTAATTTTGTGGTTATCGACGCAACACTTTAAATCTAATATAATATTTGGATTGAGAAAGAAATTTCAATAAAAAAACAACGATAGCTTTTATAGAATAAAAAATTATTCCGTTATCATGTTTGATAAATCAGTATATTTGTTGACACATGATTAGAATAAATTGACGAAATTGGAATTTTCCATCCAAAATTCTAGTTTGATTTTCATTGTGATTTTTTTATTTAAATTAAATATTAATTGAACTTTTTTTTGTATTATAATTATGTACATTGATTTTGCTAAAAATCAAAGTCTATGCATGAATTTTTTATAACGACCAAGTTTAATTGCTGATGTTGAAAAAACTTTACTCCCTCCGTTTCTAAATACATGTCATTTTATAAATAAATAAAAATTGTTACTAAATTGCAATACATGTCGTTTTATATTTTCTAGACAAATTTTAATAAAGTTTTTAATTTTACCCTTATTTTAAAATATATAACTTCAGTAGATTACTAATAAAAAAATGATTTGATAAGGGTATATATAACTTTTTTTTAGATTTTCTTAAAAAATGTAATAAAATTTAAGATGACATCTATTTTGAAATGGAGAGACTATTTTTAAGCGATGAGCAGACATGGAAGCAAGAAAAAACTTCATGCGTAAGGCAATGAAGCAAACGATCTGAAAATGAATGATGCATGCATCGTGTGCGAGGGAAAAAATAAACATCAACTACTAAAAAATCTGCAGATTTGACGAAGTTCAGACAAGGTGTCTTTGTCCTGAAAGACCTGAATCTTCCATGACTTGGCATTTAGAGTATTACCCATCACGTCAAAGAGTGGCATGAAAAGGCAGAAATTTGAACTCGGCGCGAGATGATGAAGAAAGAGTATATATATATATAACGTTTGCAACAAGAAAGTAAGAAACTTGGAGAAGAGAAAGCATTTAACTTGAAGGATAGGGAACTATATATGTATATATATATATATAGCTTCCGTCGGTGTATAAAGTATAAAGAGGTATAGAGAAGATTTGAGAAGATTACGTAATATTTAGATTTTGTTTTGTTTCTATATTACGTCATCTTCCCGATATCTCTTTGTATAGAAAATCTATATGAGAAATGGAATTTTCCGGAAGATCTTATACGGACCGGTTTCGACATTGCAATGTCCGAAGCATCTAAGGAAATCGAAGGCCAACACGAATCTGTAAACTATGCTCTTTGATCCGAAACCAATCAAAGAACCGAGAAGGGGAATTCCAGCAACTACACTTATCAACAAATGCTCCAAGAACGAGCCGTTTCCAGCTGCAAACCAAACAACTATGTAAAAAGATGGAAGCTTTGAACCGAAAACTATGTAAAAGTCTCGATCTTTAGAAGCACACTGACCTGTCATGGGCGTTAGAACAGGAGATGAATGATCAGTAGTGGACCTAGCAAAACTTTTAATTGGAGGCAAAATTTATTTTTCATATGATAAACATAATTTTCTTATGGGGGCATTTACTAAATTTGGTTAAAATATGATATGATTTATAACATTTTAATCACACCAATGGGGCATATGCCACCATAGATCTCAACGTAGGTCCGTCCATGTGAACGATGAAGTGAGTGGTAATTGGTGAAGAAGAAGTGATTCTCGTGGAGAAATATTCTATGGAAGTGATAATAAAGAGGCTCTGAAACTGCGACATGGAGGATTTTCACTGCGACAAAACCCTTTGGATCCCACAAAGGAAGGCTATCGAGAGGAAGAAGAAGGGGAAGACATAGAAGACAAAACCAGCGACAAGAGTTTGAACAAGTATGGGATTATCCCTGCATGAACGCAAAGCCAAAACAAACAGTATAACATTATAAGATGATTAGTCATATACGATGGATCAATGCTCTAAGTGTGTACATACGATGAATATGTGGAGACACCGTTCTTTCCGTACAACTTCCAATACAATACGTTTGCGGCCAAAGGCGTGTACAGTAGATTTCAACCGCACACACAAGAAAATAAAAGAAAAACGAGATAATTTTTTTTAAAAAAAAAATATGAAATCTATATATATATATATATATATGTATAGTTGATTATAAAGTTCATACCTTTAGATTATCCAAAATTTTCCATGGCCAAACTGATAAAGGAGCAACCATGTTTTTTTCTTTCATGAAAGTTTCCTTCATATATTCCGAATTATTAAGGTTAGTTTAAGTCATTAAAAATAGAAAAACATCCTGAAACATCCCTATTTTTTATAAAAAAAAATCAAATTAAAATATTTATCTTTTATCTATATGTCTAAAAGATACTATTTTAAGTTAATTATCTAATAATCATTTGATCGTTTATATTGAGTTAAATATTGTTCATAAAAATAATTAATTAAATAACAAAACACTCTGTTAGTGGTCGACAATAACATATATGTCCAATAATGGCCTCAACTGGAAACAGAAATGAAATTGATGCATATAAAAATTGCGATGTACGATCACATCAAATGTCACAATCCACTTATTTGCTTGGTTTAAATTCCATATTAATTAATTTTGTGGCAACCAAATCTGTTTCTTGTTGGCACAAAATAATGTTACAAAACAATTTGAACCGGTTGATCTATAACCCGATCCGATCCGAATACAAAATATATGGGATAAGATTTTGGGTTTGGTTATACAAACCCGAAAAAATTAAGTCGGACCAAATGCGAGTTCGGACCGATCCGATTAATACCCTTGCGTATGTACAAAACGTATACGTGCGGCTACGTATACGGTGAGTTCGATAATAAAATAAGTTTATTAAGAAGAGAGAAAAGATATTGATATTGTCGAACCGCGTAGGAATTTCATCGCATTCGGCCAACTTGTTAGAATGATTGTTGGTGATATTGTAATTTTTAACTAATCTCATGGGCTAAAATATAGTTTCTCGCAGTACATGTACAAACGTACACACCTGCATTATTTTATGTGTTTGATAATTTGTCATTAAATGACAAAAATAACACCAAAAGCATGAAGACAATCAATTATATTTAAAAATAGAAAAAAATAATAATTTTTAAATTTTTTTGTTAGTTTATCTTACAATAATTTGTAAATTTAATTTTTATGATAATATTTAAATAGAATAAAATTTCTGAAAATTTGTTCGTATTTCCAATCCATTATAATTTTAAAAATAGTATAATCGTTTACAAATTTATTTTACTTTATGTATTGTTGTAAAAAACCTTGTATTTTTAGATGATTAGAAGAATCTGGACGAATCAAGTGGGCAGATATAAATTTTGCATCATTTTTTTTAATGACTTGGAATATCGCAGGCTACATTTGGAACATGAAATATCAAGTGGGCAAAGGTTTTTACTTGTCAGATCCACGTAGAGCTCTTTGTCGTTTTGCCATTGGACTGTGTATATATATATATGTATATGTACGTGTATGTCGTTTTATATTGGAGTTTGATTGGATAGCAAGTTCCAAATCTGCCACGACCTCATTCACATCATTAATGTACCACATTTATACTTTCACAAGTGAATATTTCTTAATAGAATTAGAAGAAATGAAATCGTAAAAAATTCAAACAATCACGACTGTACAAATTATACTTATACAATGAAAAACATAGATAACAGGATAATATTAATTTGCTCGTTATAATGGGTCGATGTTATTAAATGTGATGCAGAAAAAAGAGGCAGGGAAAGACAAAAGAAAACTTTTTGAAATATCATTTTGTTTTTGTAAAATGTGGAAACATGGATAGAATTTGTAGTTTTCAAATATATATATCATGATAATTAATTAACTTTAATGAAAATAATAATAATAATCTATGTTTTTGAATCGTAAAAAAAGGATATTTATTAGAAATATTAGGACAGTATTTTCTCTACTAATATATAATAAACCATGCGATGATGATACCAATCTGACTAGATCATTGCTGTGAAACTTATCATTGACCTCATTCGCCCGCTGTTATTAGAATATGATCTGTCTTTGAGGAGACACAAGTACATGTTTCATATTTTATAACGATATATCTCTAACTCAATCATTGTTCCCATACCATACAATATCTCTATGTGAATCTACACACATGAGAACCCGCATGTATATATATATATGTGTGTGTGTGTGTGTGTGGTAGAGAGGAGAAGAAGAAGATAAAGCAATAGAGAGAGAGAGAGAGAGATGGGGAGGTTTGAAGAGTACAAACCGGTTATTGCCTTAACCGGACTTCAGTTTTGCTACGCAGGTGTCTCTCTCTTCTCAAGAGCTGCGCTGCTTCAAGGAACGAGCCCTCGGGTCTTCATTCTATACAGACAAGCCTTTGCAACCATAGCCATCTTCCCCTTTGCTTGCTTCTCAAGGTATCGTTAGGGTTTAGGACTCGCTTCTATAACATTTCTCGCTAGATCTTTTGTTTTATAACCTTCTTTTGGCTTGTCTTGTATTTGTTGTGTGTAGGGCTAAGTCGAAGAGATGTTCTTTGAATTTGAGGAGCTTTTCCTTGATATTCTTAGTCTCACTTATCGGGTACCTTCCGAAACATCATCATCATCATCATCATCATCATCATCATCATCATCATCATGTATATAAATACCTAAAATTTGACAATGTTGTGCCGATGAGTCATGACCTTTAATTTGCCTCGGGGTTTTGGTCCGTGCAGAGTTACAGCAAATCAGAACCTGTTTTTCGAAGGTATATATTTAGCTTCGTCGTCCATGGGAAGCGCCATGGGCAATATAATCCCTGCAATCACCTTTCTCATGGCCTTTCTCACCGGGTATATACATACATATATATACACACACATATACACTTCTGAAACCTGAAACGTTTCAATATGAAAGCTGACACTGTTTTTTGAATTTTGATTTGGGTGACTTAGTTATGAGAAGGTGAATATTCGGAGCATAAGAAGCATAGCGAAGATCGTGGGGACAGTTCTCTGCGTTGCGGGAGCTCTTGCAATGACACTGGTCCGAGGGCCAAAGCTTCTAAACTCGGAATCTGAGTTGCCAATCGCGAAATCGGTGTTGGGTTCGTTGCAAATCCAACAAAACGAGAGCCTTTGGCTATTGGGTTGCTTGTTATTGTTCTGCAGTAGTTGTTGCTGGTCTTGCTGGCTTGTCCTCCAGGTACTTCGAAAACCCATCAACGAACC